ACCAAATAAAATGGATGACGTTTTACCGTGAGCAACTATCGAGTGTGGGGTCCACCTAATCATTTGAGGGGCCCAAATGTCAACCTAACTTTTTTTCTCTTATGTAAAAAAACAACTTCTTCCTCTATTCCTTTTTGTCTCCCTAGCACCGCCCTCTGTCTTTGCTTGATCACCTCCATCCGTAGCGGCCTCTCCGCTCCCATCGGTGCCACTATCTTTGCCCACACCCGTGTTGCCCTCTCCACCCCATCTTGCTCCACGAGCTCGCTGGAGAGCCCAGCCGCCGAGATCTGCAGCACCACAAGCTCAACAGTAGCCATGAGCTCCATGCTCCATCACGCGTAATTAGCCTGAGCTTCTCGCCTGCCATCGCCAACTCCTCGTCAAGCCATCCATCGAGCCTATGTCGTCGGTTTTTGCGCCTCCCAATCAAGACAGTGTCGCCTAGTTAAGCCCCGCTTTTACCTGTGCTAGCAGCTACAAGACAAACAAGCAACGCCGTTCATAGAGGATAAGCCGGTCCCCTCAATTTCAAGGGACAGGGGCATCCAAGGCAAACGCGAGGCAAGAAGGGTTATCTTGTCTCATTCCAGATCGTCCTATGAACCAAACAATTGGTTGGAGTATTAGTTTTTGGGGTCACATCATTTGTAGTTTTCATTTCAAGAATGTGGTTAAAGAAAAGAAATTTTGTGTCATGCAGCTTTTGGTTTGATTCTGTATCGTGCAATTCTATCAATCCTGAGAAACTTGTTTGCAAAAAGTAGAGAGCACCTAGGGGTGGATTTGCCATTCGGGTGGGGGTACGTGGCTCGTGCCCCTCCTACCCTAGCCATGCCATTGGAGCCCCCCACACCCCCATAAAAATTGGGTCTGTCTACCTTTTACCTGTGTGATGTGACACTCGAGTGACACATGCCAAATAAACACTCAGAAACTAGCCTGTTGATAGAATCGAGTGTTCTAAGGCCACGAAACACTTGAATTTTATAACCACAGGAATGATCAAAATTAATCCAAACAGATAGAACATATAAAATAAAAAATTATCCAAATTATTTTTATGAAAGCCAAATTAGAAGATTTCAAAAAGGAACCAAATAAAACATACAAACAACAGGATTTTGATCAAATGATCAAAGTTGATTCAAACAGATAGAACATATAAAATAAAAAATTACCTAGATTATTTCTATGAAAGCCAAATTAGAATATTTCAAAGGGAACCAAATAAAACATACAAACAAAAAAGAGCCAAAAAGTGATCTGACAACTGTTTAACTAATTTTGACTACTCTCATTTACGGATAATTAATTTACACCAATTAAATATAGAATTTATACCTATATAGAAATAGTAAATTGTGGTTCAGTATAACGTAATCAGCTCCTGTTAAAAGAATAAATCTGTATCAAGGGCAAGGTGACGTGATAGCGACGGATCAGCAGCGAGCTGGTCCACCAGCCTTGCTGCAACACTACTAGGTAGCTGTACACATGCATGCCTAGCTAGTGGGTAGCCAGTGGTCTTGGGGCAGCAAAAAAACGAGGCGCAACATGCACATCTCTGGTCGCAAAACAGAGTAGGGGGTGTTTGGTTTCTCCTTCTAAACTTTAGTCGTTGTTCCATCGAATGTTTGGACACATGCATGGAGTATTAAATATAGATTAATTACGAAACTAATTGCGCAGCTTGCGACTAATTTACGAGATGAATCTTTTAAGTCTAATTAGTTCATGATTTGACAATGTAGTGCTACAGTAAATATGCACTAATGGCGGATTAATTAGGCTTAATAAATTCGCCTCGTGGAGTAATGACGAATTCTGTAATTTATTTTTTTATTAGTATTCGAACACCCCATGCGACATCCTCACGTGATACCTCCTAAATTTTAGTCATCGGATCCAAACAGCCCTAAGAATACTCACACAGCACCGACCGCAAAAACGAGGCAACAAGGGCACCGAAGGTGAGTTGGAGTTTCTCTTGGTGAGCGCTAGGGAAGGGAGGGCTAGAGTCCTCCCGACGTATCTTGGACAGAGGTTGAAGATGAGTCAGAGTTTCTCTTGGTGAGCGCAGCAACAAGGGCACTGAAGGCTGCCATTTTAACCACAAGGAGATCAAGCCTTTGTCTGATGAGCTTAATTGCATACATGATTTCCTCTCGAAGATGTCGGAGGAGGAGAATCCTGACGACCAAGACTAGATTTGGATGACAGATGTGTGGGAAATGTCATACGTCATCGAGGACAGTCCCGATGACTTTATGATTTGTATTAATGATGACAAATCTACTCAGAAGAAGAGACTAATGAAGAAGTGCAAAAAGTTGCTAGACAAGATGAAGGCACACAAAAGGATTAAGACACAGATCAAGAAGGTGGGAGACAGGAATCACACATATAGGACTGGGAGCACCTAGAGGTGGATTTGCCACTAGGGTGGGGGTACGGGGGCTCGTGGCCCTCCTACCCCGGGTTGCGTACAATTAGCCTGAGCTTCTCGCCTGCCGTTGCCAATTCCTCGTCAAGCCATCCACCGAGCCTATGGCATCGGTTTTGCGCCTCCTAGTCAAGACTGTGCCGCCCTATTGAGCCCCGTTTTTACCTGTGCTAGCAGCTACAAGACAAACAAGCAATGTCGTTCAGAGAGGATAAGCTCGTCCCCTCAATTTCAACGGACAGGACATTCAGATCCAAGGAGAATATTCACCTTCGGGTTCGTTTCATCATCTGTGCCCCCAAACCAAACGCGAGGCAAGAAGGGTCATCTCATTCCGGATCGTCCTATGAACCAAACACTTGGTTAGAGTATTAGTTTTTGGGGTCAGATCATTTGTAATTTTCAAGAACATGATTAAAGAAAAGAAATACTATGTTTTAAAAAAACAGTAAATGTAGAGCACCATATCATCACTGATTCATTGTAGTTGAATTTCTTTACGACGTGACTTAAAGTTATGGAACATTCGGTAATTGGACTCGTGAAGAACTTAGGGCAGCAATAACATAGGCAACGCTAGCGTTAGCCTCAATAGAAATTTGTATCCAGCATAGACTCAAACTAATTGTGGCCAATAGATTCCCAACACAAGTTGCACTTCTACCTCTCCTAAACTAGTCCCGCCACCATTATCGTCGTGCTCAACTTTTATACAGTTCTTCTCAAGTTTAACCCTGTATCCTTCAATGCCAGAACACGCAACTTGTTGCTTTGACTTTTTGTTAGTGCAGGCCACAACTCCCTCTGCAGATGAATCAAACACCCTGTGAAACTATCATTTCACGTGATTTGAATACTCGGTGTATACATGGAAGTTGGGACAACGCTTTAGGGTGGAATGTTAGGCCTAGCCTTATTAGGGCACGCTCAACGGAGGCACACACCCGTGTTAGCTCCAGACTAAAGTAAAGCGGAAAAAAAAAACAAGACGGCCACCCATCCGACCTTGCTCTTCTCCTTGCAGGGCAAAAGCCTATGCATGTCACAGTTCAGTGGCAGAATCTTGATGCACAATTGGAGGCTGAGGCAGCACGCCAACCTGGAGCGGTTGGGAAGCCCTTAGTAAGGTCAGCGAGCAAAACATTTCTAAATCACCTTTTTCTCTCATGATGTCTGAGCCATTGAGTCCATGGATTGGTTGCTGCTTACGGATTGACCGGTTGCATGGCCATGCCATCCAACCGGGTTGTACCAGTTCTATCTATTCCAACCGTGCAGCTAATTTAGATATTCGGCATCGGATCAAAATGGAATCTTGCAAAAAGAGCAGTAATATGGCCATGTTCGTTTATCTTATAATCCGTTTTTTCAGCTTGTTTTTTCAGCTGAAACAGTATTTTTCTCTCGCAACAAATCAGCCGGAACAGTGTTTCGGCTCGTTTTTTCAGCGAAGCGAACATGGTGTGTAGGTGACAAAAAGATATGACAAGGCTCGTATTTTTTACAGAAAGAAACAAGTAGGGATTGTATAAAAATGTTAGAGCGAGTCCAATAGGCTTGTCATATCCTTTAGAGATTGTATAAAAATGTTAGAGCGAGTCCAATAGGCTTGTCATATCCTTTAGGGATTGTATAAAAATGTTAGAGCGAGTCCAATAGGCTTGTCATATCCTTTGGTGTAATGATTTGGCTTTTTTAGAGCATCGGAAGCTCCATCGTAAAAAAAAAATTCATTTGCTATGCCGGTTATTTTGCTCGGTAGAGTAGGTGACCGGCACTAGCTCGCTATCTGTGGCTCTCACCCTCGTCACATACGCGACTCCCCTCTCCTGCGCGGGCTCCGTAGCATGCAGCAGAGTGGTGTGAGCTGGTGATCCATGGCCTCCTTAGTGGTGATATGACAACAGCGGTAATATGAGTAATCCGTAAAATGAAGTTTATGTGTGGGTTCGCGGAATACACGTCTTGCATCCCTACATCTGTCAAGCATGTGTCCCACATCGTAAGCACCTCTTGACTGCTCTATCTTTTGCAGTTGGGTTATCATCAGCTAATGCGCTCCCACTATTCGGCAATTTGCCTGCTCGATTTTTATTTCTTTCCGTTGGTCTTATTGGAACTTGTCGGCAATTTTCACGCCGGATTTCGACTCCGAGCTCCAGGGGGTTCCAGGTTCATTCACCATCAGCCACTGCCAACATAAGCGGCGGTAGAGTTCACACGGGCGGAAGCCAAGTACATTCGGTGTTGCAGGAGAAACCGCGCGTGCCGTGGCGGCTGGGCCTCGGCGCTGGCTCGCGAAACCGGGGGCGCCGCGCCGCCGTTCGCCTCTGCTACATGGCAGACACGAACGACTCATATGACCCTGACAGGCCATCTACCTGCACACGCGTGACGACGCGTCGCTACCACGCTCGGGTCAGGTCTATCCACTGACCGCACCAATATATATAGCACAGCACGTCAGCACGATGCCGTCCAGCAAACTTGAGAAAAGCCTCGCCGAGAGTCCGAGAGAGAGAGAGAGACGACGACGACGACGACGACGACGACGATGAAGGTGCTGGTCGCGGTGGACGACAGCGACGGCAGCCGCCATGCGCTGGCCTGGGTGCTCGACCACCTCTTCCCGGCCGCCGAGCAGCAGCATGAGGAGGAGCCTCAGCCACCGCCGGCGCTGGTGCTCGTCCACGCCCAGGAGCCGCTCCGGCACGTCATGATGTACCCGGTCGGGCCAGGTGATTCCACGTCCCCGCAGGCCGCAGTACCGCAGCACGACCACGGTCACCGGCACGTGTTTCTGTCCGCTTTGGGTCCGCCTCCGGCCATACGCGTCTCACCTCGTAGTCTCGTACGCGCTGGCTCGCAGGGTCCGCGGTGTACGGCGCGCCGTCGATGATGGAGTGGGTGCGGGCGGCGCAGGCGGAGAACGCACGCAACCTGCTCGACAGGGCCAACCGGATCTGCCACCGACGAGGGGTAACTTTTTTCTTTCTTTCTACTCCGTACTACCACTAGTCTACTACTAGTAGTACTAGTAGTATCAAATTATCAAGGCACGTTGCATATGCTGCTGCATCTTGCATATGTTGTGCGACGTGGCGCGGGAGATGTGACGCATTTTGCATCGTCCGCCCGTAGGTGAGCTCGGAGGGCGTGGTGGTGGAGGGTGATCCCAGGGAGGCGTTGTGCCGCGCCGCCCAAGACATGGGCGCCGGGCTGCTCGTCGTCGGCAGCCGTGGCCTCGGCGCCATCAAGAGGTATGTTGGATTGAATGGAACACGGTGATCGATCGACCGATCCATCGATCTTGAGTCGTTCCTGTGTGTTTGCAGGGCGTTCCTGGGGAGCGTGAGCGACTACTGCGCGCACCACGCGAGCTGCCCGATCATGGTGGTCAAGCCTCCTCACGACAACGAGCATGACCACCGGGCGACGACCTGATTTCCGGTCTCCGTTCTTCGATTCCAGCGAGGCCTTGTTCGGTTCTCTCGGAACCGGTCGTTCCGGGCCCGAAAATCTTTCGCGATAATACAAATTTGTGAAAGATTTGTGCGGCTGGAAATCATTTCCCTGCAACCGAACGGCCTGAAGAATGTATCACTCGTGTCGCCTCCAGCTGTCCTTATTTTCCTGCTGCCATTCGTTCTGTTCACCCCCTGCTTCCTGCTCTGCTATAGATGGATCCATCATCCGTTGTTTCCCCTCTCATGTCGATGGACTGAGAGAATCATCATGCTCGCTTTATAAGAGGTAAATGTGTAGATTACCACGACGTGAATGAACATTTTCCATATGTTGCAACACATCATGGTTCCGCGAAGTAAACTATCTATCGTGCTGTTTGGTTCAAATGTGGGAGTAGCAACGGGAATGTAACCTGCTGCCGGTGCTAGCTATTACGGTGCAACTAAGGGCTCGTTCAGTTAGGGGTGGATGTGGGCAGGAATTTTTCCAGCTAATCAAACCCTGTATAAATTAACTAGCAATTAACTAGGAATTTTTTCTAAGAGTCATTCCTCGTGAAACGAACGGGCCTTAAAAGTGTATTTCGTTTGGTTGGTTTGGGCAAGTAAAAGTTGCGTGTGGGGGTGGTCCGACGGTCAGCGGGACGTGTTACCGTCAGATGGGGAGCAACATTGGTGTGCTATGGGTTGTAGCCAATTATATTGTAATAATAATAATAATAATGCATCCTAAGCACAATAACACAGTACACATCGCCATATGTACTAGAGATGAGTTTAGCCAATTACATTCTAATAACGGATCCTAAACACAATATCACAGTACATATCGTCATATACACTAGAGATGAGTTTAGTTTGTACCCTTGAGTCTAACCCGAGTTAGAGGGAGTAGAAATGCTCGCCTAAGCCCCATGTGCACGGAAGGAGCTCGGGTCAGAGAGCTCACAGGAGGTGAACCTGGACAGGTTCCCGCAGAGTAAATATGTAACTTCACATTTGGCCTGCACCCATGACCAAGGCCACGGGCCCGAGCACGGGCACGGGCTCGACATGGCGGTGTGCGCGTGTGGTCCCCCAACTCTCCCTCCAACAAGCTTCCTATTTAAGTTGAGAACTTTCTTAATGAGTGTATCATGTGCTATTAATCTCACTCTCACTTAGCACTTATTGTGGGTCTTTGAAATTCCTTTGATTAATTGCTAGACGAACCATGGGCCAAGCCCAATAAATCCAACAGGATCACCGAGTAGTTTAATCAAACAGCTAGCAACACTATTTGTTCACGCCGTGAACTTATTGCAGCAAAGGCCTAACACTATTTGTTCACGCCGTGAACTTATTGTTGCCAAATTTGGAATCATAGAAGGCCTAACAAAACAGCAGCATAATAAGAGAATGGAGCAAATAAAGTCGATAAATGGTGTGTAATGTTTGTAATGAACTAATCTCTCCCTCTCTCCTAAATGTAACCTCAATGACACTGGGTCTTCATACCCTATAGGTGCCCGGCACCTTCCATCCACCCTTACCGGCATCATGGTGGGGCTCTCCTATGGTAGAAAACTATAGTAAATGGTAAATTTGGAATCATAGACACGATGTAGAGGACTTAAAAGCTTTTGCCAGCTCCTTAAGGGCCTCAACCTTGCTCTCTAAGTATTTTTTATATATTTTTAATAGAATAGAGAAGTGTCTTTTCAGTGCTAAGAGTTAAAGTTAAGCTCTGTATGCATTTCAAGATGATGGAGAGATCATCGGGGCTCTTGTCGTGTCAACATATTATTAGAGTAGCATATCCAAGTACATTATGAAGTGCCCTAATATTAAAGCAAGCTTTCTTCGGATTTTAGTGCTTATTGATGAGGACGTATGAAGTTAGAGTAGCATATCCAAGTACATTATGAAGTCTGCTCATACGAATTGGAATATGAACATGACATGACACAACATTGATAAATCTCTAAACCTCCCGTGCCGATACGAGTTAGAGCAGAATGAGTTCAAGCATAATGTAGAGTTTGATTCCCAGATGAATTAGAACACATGGCATGATTGCTAGATAAATCTTCAAGCCACAAATCTTCTAGATAATCAAGCAACAAGTTGAACGTCCAATTGTAGAGTGTAATAAAGTAACCACGAACATATTTTCTCTTTAGGCTAAAAGCACGAGACTTCAACTAAATGCAACCCAGGCAGGTTCTAAGCAAAGATCCAAGCTTGCAGGCGAAGTGTTGCATCCAAACAAGCCTAGCACAAAGAGCGCACACAATTTTTGTTGTGAAGGATTGAGGGGCCATGGGGTTGGCTCAAATATGGGTTGCAGAAGGGATTATTTTTATAAAGACCCTTACATAGGTGCCTTATATCTGATATATATATATATCAAGGAAAACACATGCTAGTACAAAAATAGATAACATGATAAATGACTTAAAAATTAGAGTACATCAAACACCATTTCAACGTCTTCTTCTTTTGAGCGTCCATTGTCTACCCAAGCTTAAAAATAGCACTGAAGACAACAACAGAAAAGGGACAAACGTAAACTTACGATCCTTTAGCATTACAATAGAGTATTAGAGATGCTAGACCTTGCTATAGAACAAACTAAAAGAAGTCAAAATCACTGCATTGAAAACCAACCAATTACTTTCCCTGATGAATACACCAACTGCCAAAATCTGAAGAGAACCAATATATATGACAAACAAAACTCTCACCGGCCATTCGCCGACGCTAGATCTAACGCCATTGAGGTAGGAAGAGACTAGAGAGACCTTATCTCAATACACCATCGTCACCACCACCTCGTTGATGAAGCCAAAAACAAAACCCTAAAGATCAGTAAATTGCAAAGAGATCGGATCCCTACTCCTCTAGCCACCGACGGGTCTCCGGTTGGGAGAGAGGAGAGAACCCAGGCAATGACGCAGAAGAGGGCAGCGATAATGGTTATTTTGGAGGAGGCGGCATGCATAAGTGCTGACAGTTGTTAACATTCATCATAAACCGTCAATATATCCTGTATATATGCTTAATTTCCATCACCAACATAGGTATAGTGTTTTAAACTAACAAGTTCCACAAGATTTGGTGAAATTATGAATACAGGAGGATTTATCCAGAAAATGGATCAAGTGGGCCATATTATTTCAAAGATTTGATTTTATCCGTAACGAAACCGACTCCACTGGACTCTAATCCACCGTCCACAAATTATCGACAAAGATCAACGGGATTGGAGGCCAGGGAGGGGTCGGGCGACCTCACCTATAGGTCGGCTGACCCCCTGGTCCCACCAATCGGCCTCTTATGAATCGGGGATCCTCCACCGACTTCAAACATCAATCTCCACCATTGTATTCAAGTCGGTTTAGAATGGAGAGTCGAGATGGAGCATGGATTCATGAGCCTATAGGATGCTGGGTGCCCCTGTAAAAGGACCCTAGACTCCTCTTCAGAAGGGATCGCAATTGAAGAGAAGAATAATAGTCCTCTATAGTAGGCTCTATTCTTTATACATAGAAAATAGAGAAATAGAGAGCGAGGGAAGAGTTTGGAGAAAGTACCGGGTTTGTCGGTGCTCTCTCTTTGACTTGTACCTTGGCGGATTCAGGTTTTGCTCGAGCCTATGTCTGAGACATCTCTAGTAATTGATTTCTAATCCAAAGTAAGTATTGTCTTTGTATTCATTTGGATAACAACTCGTTTGAGTGCTTTAATCCTTGTTAAGCTCTAGGGTTAAAGTAGTAATCGTTAGTATAGGAGTGGTGCTTAGACTTTCGGCTACTCGTGGATGCACTCTACATTCCAGAACGTGTGGTAGATCGTGGGAGTGACAGTCTCATTGATACTCTATAGTCCACCTCCTGTCTGTAGGCCTAGTAGGACCTAAGTTGCGACGGAAGATGTGGTATTTTCTACTGTGCTTTTCCTTAGTAACGTCACCAAAATACAACTCTTCCTTAGGTCAGAAGTTAAGAACCTTAGAAGTTCTCTCTACACTCATGTTTATCTTTAATCTTGTTGCTATCTCAGGTTAAATTAGTCCGTCGTTAACCTCACACGTTTCCGTGTGGATACGATACTCGATAATACTCTTGAAAAGCTACTTTGATATCTGTGCACTTGCGGATTTTTCTAGATGCACCACAAGTGTTAACAATAAGCCGCTTCAAAAATTAGAATGAATGCTTTTGGACAAACCTAAAAATACGTTATTTATTTTAGAGAGATATTATTTCCCCCAAAGTCGTAAAACATGTTTTGGGCTTTTGGTTTAGGTTCTTGGAGTTGCTCTATGAACACATTTATATAAAATTGTGATGACATCTAATTCTACTTGTGCTACGCACACAATTGTTATAAGCATCAACTATGTATGGCATGCGAAATGAAAATGAAATAAATCCAGCTTTCTTCACAATCCAAACAAATAACCTCCAAAGAAAACTCTGAATGCTTGTTGGTGTTCTACTACCAGGAGAAAAAAAATCCTGGCTAGGATTCATAGGGAGAGTGGCGAGAAAGAGCGGAGAAGGATGCACACGCAGGCCACACATTCTTCACGGCCTCCCCTCGTGGCCAGCAACGTCGCACAGCTCGTGCAGATGTTCGGCTGATCCGGTTTGGAAGACGTGGACGATTGATTTCAGCTGATTTATTAGTGTTTTGTGAGAGAGAATAAACGACACTTCTGAAAAGGCAAAAAAACGCAATAGAAACTAGCAACGGCACGAGCTGGCCGGCACCGAGGCCGCCTCCGAAGGAGAGAGAGAGAAAAGTAAAGAGTCTGTCTATCTAATAACCATGTGTTTTATGCAGTTTCAACATATGAATTTTTTTCATTATAAAATTAAGATCCAACAGTCTCCATCCTCCTACCTCCAGTCTTCTTCTACCTCTAGTCTTCTTCTATCTCTAGACAATCACAGGATCCTACTGACCACAAGAAGAATCTTTTTTACGAACGGGGCAGGCGGAGTACTGCCGTGGCGGTCGCGTTCGAGACCGCGGACCCGTACGCGGATTTCCGGGCGTCCATGGAGGAGATGGTGGCCGCGTACGGGATCGGCGACTGGGTCTGGCTGGAGGAGATGCTCGGCTGGTACCTGCGAGCCAACGACGTGGACACGCACTGCGCCATCGTGGCCGACAGGTCCAAGTGCCCGACAGGTTCAGGAGCCGGTGATGACCGGTGAAACCATTGAGAAAAAATCTGTCTGTTTTTCCTAAAACACATGTGTCTGTATTTTTTTTCTGTGTTGTATAACATCTCTGTAAGGAGAAGGGCACCTTCTTCTCCGCGTCCCCTTCCCACCTCACCTCCGGATCAGAGTACTAGCACCGCTCCGGCTCCACTGGTGGAAGTGGAACGGAGGCCACTCCCGCCCCCCACCTTGCTGCGCGCTCCAATGGCGGCTTCCGCCTTCCTCGTCGTCGCCCCGGTGCACGCGCCGCCGCTGGTGCGCCCCCGCGTCGTCCCTCCTCCCCCCACCTGCGGCTGCCGCCGCTGCTCCGCTCCGCGCGGGGGACTCACCCTGCGCCCGCAGGCTTGCGCTTCACGCCGCCGCTGCAACCCGGCGATCCGCCCGGTGAGCCTGCTTCTCTCTCTCTTCCGCTTGAATGCGCGTCTGTTTTAGTGATCTGGAAGCTGAAATTATCGGCGGAGGCGCTCTCCACCGGTGCCCCGCCGCACCGCGACCTAAGTCAGTGTTCTGAACATGAGTCCTTCAACAGTGAAGCCTGGGCCAATCCGTTGGCTCTGTCCAGGTCATAAATCGGTGGCACATGGCGGAATTTGGGTTAACTCTTGGGGGTGCATGTCTTGATGTCTAGTGTTTTGCTGTGCGCGTGCTGACTGGTGTTGCTCTCTCCGTGTGTTCCTAGGTGAGGTTCTGTGCGGAAGTTGGTTCGGGGTGGCCCGTAGTGCTCACTCACTCAATCAAAAGGGAGTTTCACAAGGGTATAAGTGTCGCAAGGGTGGATGGCAATGCTGCTGGTCAAGTCAGTGTCGACGACGATGACGATGATTTAGACCATATCACCAGCGAGACCGTTCGTGCTGCCATAAGGAAAAGCAAGGAAGTGCTGGCAAGGCACAAGGTTATAATGGAGCAGGTACTATTTTACATGCTTTTGTGATGGAATCAAATATTATTGTCAATAATTAATCCATACCATTTTAGATTGTATGTACTGTTTGAACTGTGCGTCTTTGATATATTGTGTGACAATCCATGAAACTAGAAAATTATTATCTGTATTCCAGCAATCGAGTCCGATGCTGTTGTACATTACATAGCCTATGTCTTCCATATGTAGATGAAGTTTACATACATGCACCTTCTCAAATTATTTGAAGAGTCAAACTTTGTTAAAATATGGTTTTACAGAAGAATGTTGGACTCAAAATTGATTCTGGCTTCTGTTTTCCCTGTAGTCACTTTTTTTTTACTGTTTCACACATGAGGTGTGTTTATGCCAAACATGGGTTGTGGATAGTCTGGATGGGTTACATTTCTGTGGAAGAAGCTGACAGTATCAGGAATCGGGCCTGGATGGGTTATATTTTTGTGGAAGAAGGTGACAGTATTAGGAATGGAACCTCTATTTACCACTGATGCAATTTCATCATTTTACAACCTTAAATGATTACTGCTAATGCATAGAATAGAATATACTGAGGAATGTGTCCCTTTAATATATTCCTGTCGGAAAGGGCGTACCCAGTGCAGAGAGCTCCCGCTCTGTGCGGGGTCTGGGGAAGGGTGTCAGTGGCAAGCCTTACCCTCGCCTGTGCAATGCGAGGAGACCGCGACTCGAACCTGGGACCTTCCGGTCACAGGCGGTAAGACTCTACCGCTTGCACTAGGCCCGCCCTTCTTAATATATTCCTGTCGGAATCTAAGATTTTTCATAATACAGATTGGGAATGCGCGGATAATTTAAGAATGTCACCACACTGCTGTTCTTTTCCCATTTTGGCCTGTTTTTCAGTACCTGCTCTGCTTTGGAACTAGTGTTTAAAGATATATTTGCTGGAATTATTTGCAGTTCACCTTACTATGCATCCAATTTACTAGCTACTTACTTGTATGGAGGTGTAGTATATGCATCTGTTGTATTGTTTTGATGTTTCAAATGATGATATGTGGGTAACTTATTCAGATAGCAGAAAAGAAGCACCTCACAGCTATGCTTGACAGTTCCATTCATAATGAGCAAGAGCCACTCAGTGGTCAGAGTGATGGTTCCTTAGCAAACCTGAATGCAATTGCAGAGAGCACAGAGATTGGCTATGGCCATCAGACATACCATGATAGTTCTTCACAGCAATCTGAATTTGACACCACTTACGGAGAATCCATCTACAATCAGAATGAATACTATGAAAGTTTAAAAGATGATGGCAATGATTTCAGTGAGAATTATCAGCATAACAGTTTTCCTAGAGCTGCTCGTAGTGTATATGAACTAGAAGCAGATAATGGTATGAAACAAGATTATGTGGTACAACTAAGTCAAGTAAGCGAACATGAGCAGTCAGTTAATGAGGGAACAAATGACAATGCATCTGGTGGAGTTGATGTTATGAATGTCATATTGGTAGCCGCAGAGTGTGCTCCTTGGTCCAAAACAGGCAAGAACTGAATGATATAATTGCATTTCTTATGTGCTTTGTTTTTCTTGTAAGGGTGTGGTTGAAAGCATGAACATTATTTTTCCGATTTGTATGCTGGTGCTGTCACTTTACCACATTCTTGGAAAAGAATAGCTGTGTGTGTGTGTGTAGACTGTGGGGTGGAATTGGGTTGTGATTCTGTGATTTGGGACTGTAGTGATAGCTAAGAAAAGGAAGTACAAGCTCACAATCTGAAACTTTTTCAAAGGGATGATTAGGTCAATAGGATTGCAATCAGTCCAAAAAGAAAAATATATAGCATGGCAAAGAACCTCAACGGCCAAATAACTCCAGAAAGGATGGCAATTTTGGAAAATAGCAATCCCTGGAATATCCCGTTAGACATTTTATCATAATGCCACAAATGCTCTACTTCTCTAACTTAGATTAGGCTCACAGGGCAGAGGAATCCATCTGTTCTCTTGTATGGAACTTTAAGTCATTATAATGGTGAAAAACCGCCATTTTTTTCTTAATGAAATGGCACGCAGCTCTCCTGCATTGTTCGAGGAAAAAATGCCATTTGACCAAGGAGTGTAATTTCCAAATTTACATGTGTTTGAGATTTTATACTCAAGTGCAAAATTGATGTTATTTCTCTAAATACGACAGAACAGGTGCTATTAGGCTCATTTCCCAATTTTAAAACCCAACCCTGTAACTCACTAGTCATGTCCACTCTGTAGTGGCTGCTCTAAAGTCTACATGCAATTGTGCTGCAACGCTTGAGATCAGTTTCAGCGAATCGTGAAAAGTATCTAGATGAAACTAGGCTACCTTTTGCTTGTTTCTGCTAATTTTTCTCCATAGGTTTTACTTCATGTTTCGCTTATTGTGCTTGCTTGAAGAAGAGCACACATGCTAAAGTTTACACGTTTGATCTTTTGGCTACTTAATAAAGTGTGATGCCTATATGACCAACAATTCAATACAAAGGCATTTATTTTTCATATGAGTATGTGTTGCATGCTGAATTATTTATCCGCAACTTGAGGCATGTATGCCAACTTCTCAAAGTTGACCCTACCATGTATGATTTTAAAACTTTTTTGTACATATTATCGATTTCATATCCATTTTTGGCAATACATGCAGTATGAATTTCACGACTTTGCAAGCTATTTATGGTAGAAGCCTGTGTTTTTTTTCCTCGAATACGCAGGAGAGCTGCGTACCTTTGTATTGAGAGAGGGAAACCAGCCCCTTACAAAGATCACCACCTCACTCTGCCGTGTGGGGAGAGAAATATATGTTAAGTGGAAGCCTGTTAAAGTTTAATTTTTATGATTTTAGAAAGAGGTTTGCTACCCTCTCTGTCGTTTGGGATAAGTTGTTTTGTAAGTTCCGAATTTCAGTGTACATCTTTCACCTTTGTTTTTATGGAACGTATGCTGGTAAAACAAATAAAGATATGCGTAATAAAAAGTATTTTAAATCTAATAGCATTACTTTATGTTGTCAGCCTACATTTTATATAAATTAGAGGTTAAAATTTCAAAATTGTGCCTGCATGGATCCCATGCATCCTATATTTAGGGCCTGTTTGGCTCCCGCCGCGAGTGTTGCGGACGAATCGTCCGCCAGACATTTGGCAAGCTGTGGCGTCAAAAATGAACTAGCTGCTGCGGTGGCCGCCAAACCTTTGGCGAACTGCAGTGCGAGTGTTTGGCCGACGCAACGTATCACACTTGTGGCGCGACGAGCTGCGGCGCGCTGTGGACATGAGCCAAACAGGCCCTTAGTGGTGGAGGAAGCACAACTTTATAGAAAACCATTACAACCCGTACTGTTGCCTAATTCTTGATTATGCTGCATCCTGGCCATAACTCAGTCACGTACTTCTCTGAGTGTTTATGCATGCTTACTGCTGCTATCATGCAAAATTCAGAAGTGAATCGCAAGTTAAATGGTTTACATCTTTGCCTTTTCATGATTGAATGTTGTGTTCGATGTTTGAAAGATGACTGAACTTTTCATATTCCACTTAAAAATTTGGGTGATCTTTTCAGTTTTAGAAAGGTGGGATTGCTTGTCAGGGGGTTGTTAACCTATGTTCTGACTTGTGGGGTCAAAGAGACAACTGGACAGACTGATATTTTTCTTTTTCTCTAACAGGCAGATTGATATTTTTTATTTGGCTACTTAATATGCTTGGAACTAAAGGCTTTGCTGTTGATGTGCCTGCCTACATTTAGTGACATCATTTCATTCCTTATTTTTAAAAATAAAGATGTACATGTAAATAACCTTTTCTTTGGGCAAAAAGGGTGTGGTTTTAGTGACCCCCTAGTGCACATATGAGTTCGCCACTGATTTTAATGATATATCCGCTAAATTATTATAGATATCGAGAGTTGTTAATTATATATATATATATATATATATATATATATGATCATTTTAATCCCTTGTTCACTTTGTTTGCAATAACCTTGTACCAATTTCCTGCAGGTGGCCTTGGGGATGTTGCTGGAGCTTTGCCTAAGGCTTTGGCCAGGAGAGGTCATCGTGTCATGGTGTGCCTTTTATGAGCTATCGTATCTGAAAGAGATTTAACTAAGCTCCTACTAGTTGGAAGTGGTGCAAGTTAACATGGAAGATAAACAGGATGGCTGTAAAGTCCATAAAATCACTTATTCATCCAGTAGATGGTTGCAAAATCTTTAGTTTTTTTTCGAAAATGCAGGAGACCTGCGTTTCTTTATATTAAGAAGAAAAAAAGGACAAGAACCCTTACACACACCAACACAAAATCAGTTCAGTTCACACTGTTACTGAGAGCACCAATCCTAAGCCTTCTACTGTTCCCCATCCGGCACAAGGAAAAATCGTTTTTAGTTCAACTAAAGAGGATTGACAATTGAGTTTGTAGGTACCTGACATTGTGGCCACTATAAGACCATATTGAATGGACAACCATAATTAACTAGCTGTGCCAGTCATGTGCTTTATTTCCTCCTTATACAAAGTGGATTTTCACAAAAGACTAAGATCTATTCATGATATGTTCAGCAGAACTCATGTGTTTGGGCCGAAATATTTCAGCTATAATAGAAGCATTTTTCTGCAGCTCAAATTGCCTAAATTCTAAGCAGTGCACCTGGATATTCTGGCTTTCAGTTTTAGGGCTAGATTGCGCTGTTGTGCTCTGCTACCTTCACTGTGCAATCTAGTTAATTGTGGGAGTCTACTAATTCTATTAACCTTTTGCTTTATGGTCCCAGTAAAAAAACATACCTTCATATAATTGTTATGTCAAACATTAAAAAGTACGCTCTTGAAAAGCCACAATACCATTAGGCACAGTATTTTTTCTAAAAAATAGTATCTGTATTGTTAATTTTGGTTAGTGCCTGGTATGGGAATAACTCATGCAGTACATTCCAAAGCAAACCCGCGTTCTTATTTGAGAGAACATAGGCTATGTTTCTGAGTTTTTTGGTCAGACAACACAAATTAAATTTTCAATAGCCACATTTGGAGAAGCATTTAAATACTAAATACATAATCACTTCTTATATTTTTTTTGTTAGGTAGTAGCTCCAAAATATGGTGATTATGAGGAATCACAAGAGATAGGAGAGCCAAGGAATTACCAAATTGCAGGGCAGGTATTTTCCTCTGCTATCATATTATTAGCTTAACATATTGAATATAGCTTGAAAATGTTCTGTTTGGACAGGATATGGAAGTAAAGTATTACCATGCATACATAGATGGTGTGGATTTTGTTTTCATCGACAATCCCGTCTTCCACTATGTTCAGAGTGAAATTTATGGTGGGAACCGAACTGTGAGTATACCACTTCATTTGATGATACTTTTTTCTCGAATGACACTGGAGAGCTGCGTGTCATTTCATTAAGAAGAGAGAAAAAAGCACAAAGGAGAGGCAAGTGCCTGCTCCTAGTACAAGGGAGAGGCTGGAGCCTGCTCCCAAACACACCTAACACACACCAGGCTATAAAAACATTTGCTTTACTAAAAGCTGATATGAGATCTATATCCAAATTACTCCCTCCATTCCAAATAATGAGAGTTTTTGGCTTTTTCTAGATACATTGATTTTTCTATGCATTTAGACATAGTGTATATCTAAGTGCATAGTAAAAGTTATGTATCTAGAAACTTAAAACGTCTTATAATTTGGAATGGAGAGAGTATAAGACATTTTGGCTTTTCTAGATACATAGCTTTTGCTATGCACCTAGATATACACTATGTCTAGATACATAGTAAAAGTAATGTATCTAGGAAAGCCAAAACATCTTATAATTTGGAATGGAGTACCTGTCAGTTTCTTGCTTTTTTGGGTTGTTTATTGTTGACACTAAGCATATTAACCTTTATCAGGACATCTGGAAACGAATGGTTTTGTTGTGCAAAGCAGCTGTAGAGGTAACCTTTCTTGGCTGTAACATCTATAGTTCCATTGACATCTAAGATGTCTAGTTACACAATTAACACTCCTTCAGATACATACAGTTTTTTATGTATAAGACACGATATGTTTATGACTTTATCATTTGGTCTGTTTGAGTGCCCTTTCTAGGGGTACATTTTTTTCCCAGTTGAAGTATTGCCTACATACGTGGCCTTTGTTTAACCTTGTTATTTCTCTTTCATTGTCTTATTCAATATGCTTATAGAAAACATCATTTTAGGTTCAATGGTATGTTCCATGTGGTGGCTTCTCCTACGGTGATGGAAATCTTGTGTTTATTGCAAATGATTGGCATACTGCACTTCTACCTGTTTATTTAAAGGCATACTATCGTGACAATGGTTTTATGCCATATGCCCGTTCTGTTCTTGTGATACACAACATAGCACATCAGGTAAGATCTTTTTTGTTACTGTTACCTTCTATATCCTGTGTATATAATCTGCCTGAATTATTAGTTTATTACTCTTTCATACTACATGGATCTCACCTGTTTCACCTATTTACTTCTGTTGTCCTCTTCATTGGTGCATCTTGTTGGGTTTATAGGTAGTCTACCCCCAACTTGTTTAAGACTAAGATACTTTGCTATTGTTGTAGTTAGTAGAAAATTATGTGATCTACTCTAGTATGGCAGTTAGGCCGGTGGGCGCAGGTCATAGTGGCCCATGGTTGTACCTGCCAGGCAATTTGAGCCCAGGCTCATGTCTAGCATGTGTATGGCAACCTTTGCCCATGCCTCTTGTGAGCATACAAAGAGAAATCCAAAGAGATTGAGAAAATAAGTACCTGGGAAATCATTCTGGACCGACAAACATGGTGAATCATGTAGCATAACCCCTACCTGCTGCCGTTCCTTGTGATGAACTGACGATGCCTTGACACATTTGAGGTTGGTCTCTCAAATTGGAAAGAAGTCTATAATATGGAATGCATCTTTGACTGAGCCTTTGCTGATCAAAAGGCCTCAAAATGCTTCTTTGATTTGGGCTTGGAACCCAGAAGGTAGCATTAAGTGGCTGGAAGGCAGCAGGTAGGGCTGTAGAGGCAACCAATGAAGGTGCTAAGCTGGTGTGTCCAGGAGGATCTCCTTTACCTGAATGTGTGTCAGTGTGTGTAATGAGGCTGAGAGAAAAGTGAGAAACAGTGCCTGAGCGCTGAGTTTTGTTTCCCCTAGATTCTAGGGCTAGGATTTGTGCATAATTGTGTGGGTCCACATGCCAAGGTAATGTCTCTCTCTCTCTCTCTGGGGTAGGGGGGTGTTCCCAGGACATAGGTCTTTGTGTTCATGAATGTGCCTGCAGTAAAAAGAAAAGTCAAGAATACGCACCTCCTGTATTTACCCACAACCAATCGGGTAAATGAGCAAAACTGAGTACCCTAGATTTGATTCTACAAAATGAATCTAGTAAAGTAAACAATCACATGGTGAGTGTTTAAAGTAACATACCTCTAGGTCTCATGAAAATTTTAAGTGGCCTTTTAGACAGGGAACCGTGTGATCATTAGAGCCTTTGGATGCATCATAACTCACGCAAGATGATGGCAGAGTTTTGTATGCAAACAATGGGCATGAAGATTAACATGGTCTCAGATAGGAAAGCCAGAAATTATGTAGTGCCTTTACTGTCTTGCATATTTGTTGCACTAGAAAATAATGGGTATGCCAGAATGCTTGTACATAATATGGTTCATGTTTATTGTCTTTAAAGATATATGTACAGATAACAGCTTGTATTTTGCTGCCCTCTTTATAACTATACCCTCTGTAAGCGCTGTACTGGTTGCTATACTCTAGAACCTGTTTGCATTGGCAATTTAGCATTGATGCTATTACTTTATAAATATTTTATCTATTAAAACTACTTCGTTTATACTATCCATGAAGATAAATTCACTCAGTTTTCTATCCATTCAGATAAGTTAATTTCAATTTCTCTTTCCAGGGTCGTGGCCCGATAGATGATTTCAGTTACCTGGATTTACCAGGTCATTACATGGATCAGTTCAAACTTTATGATCCATTTGGAGGTGATCATCTAAACATTTTTGCAGCTGGTATTAGAGCTGCTGACCGTTTGCTTACCGTTAGTCATGGTTATGCATGGGAGCTAAAAACACCTGATGGTGGTTGGGGCCTTCATAGTATCATTAATGAAATTGATTGGAAATTCCAGGGTATTGTAAATGGTATTGATAATACGGATTGGAATCCTAGGCATGATGTCCATCTACAATCTGATGGGTACGCCAACTATTCTCTAGAAACCGTTCAGACTGGTAAAGCACAGTGCAAGGAAGCACTACAGAAAGAGCTCGGCCTCCCAGTTCGTGGTGATGTTCCAGTCATTGCTTTTATTGGACGGTTGGACCATCAAAAAGGTGTAGACCTGATAGCAGAGGCAATGCCATGGATTGCTGGTCAGGATGTACAATTAATTATGTTGGGTACTGGAAGACAAGACCTTGAAGATACATTGAGGAGGCTGGAGAGCCAGCATTATGACAAGGTTAGGGGCTGGGTTGGGTTTTCTGTCCGGTTGGCTCATCGGATGACAGCAGGGGCTGATATACTATTGATGCCGTCAAGGTTTGAGCCATGCGGGCTGAACCAGCTATATGCCATGATGTATGGGACTGTCCCTGTAGTTCATGCAGTTGGAGGTCTCCGCGACACAGTCGAACATTATAATCCCTATGAGGAGGTTGGAGTTGGATGGACTTTTGAGAAAGCAGAGGCAAACAGAATGATCGATGCCCTAGGGCACTGCTTGAACACATACAGAAATTACCGGAGCAGTTGGGAAGGTATCCAACGGAGAGGGATGATGCAGGATCTAAGCTGGGATAATGCTGCTAAACTCTATGAGGAAGTTCTTCTTGCTGCCAAATATCAGTGGTGACTGCTGAACTGTCCAAGGAACTGTTGATATTTGTCATTCACAGACCTGAGGGCTTTCTGTCGCATAGAAGTCGCCCACTGTTTCAATGCTTTTGGTGCTTCACACAGCTGCTGCATGCCTTATCCTGAATTCCTGGATTTTGCAGGATGGTGTGAGTCGCACAGCCAAATTTTTTGTTGCCAGATCCTAATAATGGCATCAAGTGTGAATTCAGGGTCTACCTCCTGGACAAACAGTGGATGGGGCCTTTCCTGGGAAGAGGTTAATGTTAGAGGAAAGATTCAGGGGAAGCGTCGTGCATTTTTTGAAGTGGCTACGAATTCATTTGTTCTACAGGAAGAGCTAAGTTAGACGCTTTGGTACAGGAGGGTAGTAGATAGCAGAGAAATTGATGCTTCGTTTCTTGAGTAGTTTTGTTGTATCTCTAAATTAGGATACTTGTTAATATGTTCAGTTCTTCATTTTTTCGTGCATATCCTGTAGATGATTTAGTGTTGCAGTCTTCCTAAAGGAACGGACTCAACTGTCAAATCATACTCCAGGCACCATAGCCGAAACAGGCCCACCGGTGTCAAGATGCTGATCTTAAAACTTTGGGGTTCCATACTTCCATGTAGCTTTGAGTGTCTTGGAGACCGACCTCATGCGGCCACTGTGCTTGAGCGTCCGTGGACGGTGGCTGGCCGGGGACACGCAGACGCGATCCTGGGGAAGAAGACGTGGTCCAGGGCGAGGGACAAGGTATCGCGCCATTCCATTCCCCCATCGGAGTTGCCCCCCAAACTCCACCTGCAAAATTACCCCCTCCGTCAAGCGATTCCTACTCCACCGACCTGCACTTCTGCTCACGATGACCATCGCCCCCCATGCGTGCAAAAGGAGTGCGTGTGTGTATATATATTCATCTGACCATCAACGCAATCTTCCATGTCCTCATCAACTCAATAAAACTACTGTCCCGTGCATACTCCTCTCCCAGACTTTCCTTGGATTTTTTTTTTAATTCCCGTTCGTCCACCATCTCTGAATCGGGAGGCAGAAGAGAAGCCAGAAGCGGGTGATCCATGGCTTCCAGCGAGCGCGTGTACGAGGACTTCGTGCCTCCGCACCAAATGGAACGCGAGCCGGCAACCCACACCCTCACCGTCAACCTCTCCGCCCAAGGCAAGCAATGCGTATACCCTTCTTCTTGGCTTCTTGCTTCATTTTCCTCGTGCAAGTAACATTAATTAGCTGGGCGGCACAATGGCTGTCAGGGTACAAGAAGGAGCACATCAGGGTGCAGATGGTGCACAGCCACCGGCGCCTGATCGTGCGTGGGGAGCGCCCCGTCGACGGCAACCGCTGGAGCCGCTTCCGCCTCGAGCTCCGCGTCCCCGACGGGTGCGACGCCAAGGCCATCCACGCCAAGTTCGACAGCGGTGTCGTCCGCGTCACCATGCCTGGCGTCCTGCCGGAGCCCGTCCCGGTCATCGACTCCGTCACCGGCGGCACCGGCAAGCAGCAGGAGCCGCCGTTGCCGTCCCCGCCGCCGAAGCAGCATGCTAGTACGGCCGCCGTGGCCGGCGACGTGCAAGACGGTGGTGGTGATCGTGATCGTGCCGCGCGACGAGGACAAGAGGACGACAAGCACGAGACGCCGCGGAAGCAGGAAGCAAGGCAGCGCGTGCTGAGCTCGTCGGCAAAAGACGCCGCCGGCGGCAGTAGCGGTAGCGGTAGCGGCGACGACACTGGTGGGGTAGGGGAGGTGACGGCCGCTTCTCCGTCGGCACGCCAAGGCTACGGCTTCCTCCATAGCCGGAGGATGGCCACCACTGTGCTCGGCGTGGTGCTCGTCCTCATCAGCCTCGGCATCTATGTCAAGTACAGCCTCTGGCCATAAACCGTGCTGGCGTGGCGCGTGCATATGTATGGTACGGGATATGTATCGAAGAATGCTGCGCGCGTATGTATCGAAGAATCTGCCCATCACATGGATGGCCGACTGAAGAAGGGATGCGTGTGGCTTTAATTTAATTTATTTCTCAAACATTGAGTGAAGAAAAGGATTTCTATGATGTTGCCTCTCGAATGAAAAAATGATGACACATACAGCTACTTGGTAATCATTTTATCCGGATAGCACTATTATTATATTTTAATTCGAATCCAAACACATATACAAATATTATTAGATATAAAAAAACGATATCTTAAATTCGGATTCGCATTCGGGTATGTACTTGATTTTAAAGATGACATATAGATTTGCTCATCTATAGTTTTATAGTACATACAAAATCATGTAAGAATTTAAAATATAATTTTATATACATATAGATAAAGATAGCTCCCAAAATAACATATATATATATATATTAATAAATATTTTGATAATGAAATATATAAAAACAATAAGAGTAGAGATAAATATTTCAACACATATAAATATTTACCTATAAATAAGTTTAAATATATAAGAAATTCATAATTATATAAATAAATTAACGTGCTTAAAGTTAATATGATTAGTCATATCAAAGTTAATTAAACTTACCATATCATTAATTATAATATTAAAATTGTCACAAATATAAATGTTTATAGTTTAAAATATTACAAATTAAAATTAACCTTTATGATTAGCCATATAAATAACTTTTAAATAGTTTAGTCGAGTTCTGTTAAAATAATTATCATTTACATGGTTAATTAGTCATAAATATAAGTTTGACATGGTACTTTGTTCTTTATGGATATAGATAATGTCAAATATTTCACACTTTTTCAAATACAGATCTGAAGTTGGATAGAGAGGATCATTAAAAACAGATTCAAATACATCCATTGAACATCCATGTTAAAATTGAATAAGAATACCGATATCCATATTAACACTAAAACATATACGAATATCGGATCTTTCAGATGTTTAGACAGCCGGATCCATGCCCTACGAATTTCACTTGGTGTTGCATGCTATATTATAGTTGCATTGCCGTTTAACGGTAAATTTTATTTATGGACGACGATATGCCGCGACCCGTCGCGCCAACAGGGGAGCGCGCGACCCCTCCCCGACATCTGCATGTGCTGTACCCACTGACGCAAGCACCATGCGGTAGCACCTGCTACCGCTGACGTCAGGCTAACACAAATAAAAAAAAGCAAAACATTTTGTTTGAATAGCTATAACTTTTGAATGTTATATCCGTTTTCAATTCCGTCTGCACCGGTGTGTTCTACGTGACGAGGCGAACAAAACTAGACTCCACTTGCATATGTTTCAAAGAATTTTATTTTAGTAGCAATTTATATGTAAATATATGCTAGGAGATTTATCAAAGGAGTTAATACCATGTAATACTAAAGTTGCTACTCCAAACATACTAAAGTTTTTACGTAGTATGCACATCGATTGTTATCATGAAAATATAATAAAATTGCTATATAGTATTTACATAAAGGTATTAGTCCTATATTATATTATTTTAAGAGCAAATTACATGGATCGAGTTGCTAGTGAGAGTTTGTTGCAACTTAGAGCATCTCCAAGAGTATCCTAAATTTTCTTTCCAAAAAGTCCATATTTTCCAACTCCTAAAAACGTATTGGAGAGAAAAAAAAGAAGGCTATCTCCAATAATTTTTAATAATTCACTCCTAAAATATAGAAGATAATTTTACATCAGGAATCATATACTATTTCTAAATTATTTTAATCAATTTTATATATTCTTTCTCTCTGGTACATTTACATTTGGAACTCTTTTATACTCTTTATTTTTTTCCTCCCTTCCACCTTTAATTGCCCGAACAATACGCATGTATCCGCGCCACCCCAACTCCGCGCAAAGTTACGCATGACGGGGGAGGATTTCTCAAGTGCATAAATTTTAGGAGAAAGGATTATGAGTTGTTGGAGAGGAATTTTTTCTCATCTTGCTAAAAACCAAGGATTAGGAAGAAAAATATGGTACTCTTGGAGATGCTCTTATATATTGCAAAAGCGAGTAATATTTCATGTAGAAACAATGCAAACTAACCAAATGGCGGAATTTATTAAAAAAAACAAGACCTTGTGTGTGGCAAGTTTAATTCAAAGTATGAAGCAAATTATATTTTGAGCAAGTGGCAAGATATCGTGAAATGTTACAAATTCTGAGAATTATGACTTCCCGACACATGGACCTCATTACTAATTAAACTGAAAAGGCAACCGAAAAAACTCATAACTCATTAAAATGAAACTAAAAGAAATAATGAAACAAAAAATAACTGAGACTAAAAGGAACATAGAAACCGAACAAATGAAACTCTTATTTAGCAAGGATTTCTGAAAGGAAAACTGAAACACAAAAACAGAAAAAACTAAAACTCATAACTCATTAAACTAAAAGGATGAATTAAAAAATGAAACTCATAACCCAGTAAGTTGAAACTAAAAGAACAACTAATAACTGAAAAATTTAAAAGCAGGAAATATTGAAGAACAACTGATATGAAGTATTTAGGAAGACATTTGAACCTAAAAGGAGGGATAAATGAAACTCAAAACTCAAACAACTGAAAAGGGTGACTGAAAACTAAAAGAAAACATTGAAACAAAAAATAACTGAGACCAAAATAAAGACAAAAACTGGGGGAAAAAATGAGACTCCATACTCATTAATCTGAAAGAGTGACTGGAAAATGAAACTCATAACTCATTAAACTAAAACTAATCAGCATGAGTGAATGACCATGTATAGTTGAACTGTCAACATAAATTGGTACACACTTAATACATAAGTAGCTGCTATACACAATATAAGTTGCCGCTATATAAATTTGTTACAAGGTATATGAATCATGGGTCTACTTTGGTAGATCTCATCATAAGAAACGCAACGGTGCAAACGAAACTAAAGATTAACATTTGGTAAGAAAAGTTATCCTATTTTAAATAGTTGAATGGCTTAGTTCAAAACTACAATTAGCATCTTACGTTAGCATCATTCTGTTGAGATGCGCCATCTCCAGTGACGCGGAATCCACTAATTATTGTTGGGCCAATTCAGATATGGGATAGCGGGCTCCCGCACGTGGCTACCGAGGCCTCCAGCCCGCTTGCGCTGGTCGCGCGCTCTGCGCTGACCGCGACCAGTAGCGCATTAGAGTTTGCGTTTATTTATAGGAAATATATCTAGTGCAAACCAACCTTTTCGTGCAAACTGTGTAAATCAACTGCGGGGAAGAGGTGGAAGGGGGGATTTGTAAAAGTGTAATTACGCCCGCTCCTAATTACACTTTTGCAAATCCCCCCTCCCACCTCTCCCCCGCAGTTGGTTTGCACGGTTTGCACGGAGAGGTTGGTTTGCACTTGATACATTGCCTTATTTATATCCTCACTTATGAGTTCCTTAAGATGGAAATAGGCTGGATCGATCTATTAGGCAGTCGGTCTAGCCCATGAAAGCAAGGTTATGGACCACGAGAGATGCGGCCTGTTCGCTGGTTGGTTTCTGGGCTGATAAGTCCGGCTGGTGCTGGTTTGTTGTGAGAGGAAAACACTGTTGGCTGGCTGATAAGCCCTGCCTGAAACCAACAAACGAACAGACTGATGGTCTCAAAGTCGAGAATGGATCAATAGAGTCAAAATCTATGAATCTATAATAGGTAAGATGGGTTAATCCAACCATCACATATAATCTTTTTTGATTATTTATTGACCATCTTATTCTTTTTCCGAACAAGCACAATTGATGATAACTTGTTAGCGACGTCTATTCTTAGAACTAAACCGAGAAATGTCATAATTTAGGGTTAAAATAGATAAAATTGAAATGATTCACTTTTCAACTTATTTTTATTTGATGCATTGCATAATAATGTTAATGTGCTATCAACTTATCATGGTACCTTCTAGAATCTTTACTCCCTCTGCTCCAAACTTTTCTTTTAGGACATGTCTGGTTTGGCACCTGGTAGTCAGGTCAGCTGCCATGCAGCAATTCCTAGCCATTGAACGAACCGAATCCCATGCCCTAGGAAAACTGTGTCGCAAGCACCTCTGCCTGGCTCTTTAACCAAACACGTTCTTACTCTCTTCATTCTACTCCCACCATTTCAAATTGTAAGACATTTTATGTTTTCTAGAGTTTTTATTATATATCTAGACATAAAGTCTATCTAAGTGCATAACAAAAGCTACCCATCTAAGAAAACAAAACTGCTTATAATTTATAATGAAGGGGGGCTTAATATGCACTCCTTTCATTCCAAATTATAAGTCGCTTTGACTTTTTTGGTTCATCCATTTTGCTATATATATATATGTCTAGATACATAGCAAAATTGAAAAAAAAAAGTTAAAACGACTTATAATTTAGAACGGATGAAGTAATGTGTTTTGATTTTTTTTATAGTATATCTGTTCAAACTCGAAGACATTGAGTTATGACAAACCTAAAACACTGTACATTTAGGAATAGAGTAGGTGATGATAGAAAACTGGAAATTATTTCAGCGAAGATATGAATATGCGTCAGCTTCCGGGTGAAGCAAAATCCTGGTGCACACTACAGAGAAGCAATGCACGCGAGATCCCTTATTACCCAACAGCAGCCCGTTGATGCGCGCGCATGCTGCCTGGGTCAGGTATCCTTTACTTTCCTTCATTCATCTCTTTCCTGATTAGACCGACAATAGGCAGGATAGCTTGGATCTCACGTGTCCCAATTTTGTTTACCACCCCGAACCCGCCTTAGCCGTCTATATAACCGATCTGCAGTGCAGGCTCTCGTTTCAGATAGATTCAAGCGAGCGAGCGACGAGCACAGTGAGATCAAGAAAGCACAAGAGAGAGAAATGGAAGCGGCGGTGGCGCGTCGGCCTCGCGTCCTCACCGAGATCGACCCGCACAGCGAGTGGGTGCACGCGCGCGAGTTCGACGCGCTCGTGGTGGACGTCACAGGTACTCCAGGCGGCGACTCGCATCGTCATTTTCAATTTTCACTAGCAGAGAAGATCAATGTTTACTTATGGATAGCACCATCCATTCATGTCACGTCATCGATACATCTCAGGGTTCAGCAAGGACCAGCTGAAGGTGCAGGTGGAGCCGTCGGGGAGCCTCAAGGTGAGCGGCGAGCGCGCCGTCGACGGGGGTGGCGGCAGGCAGTGGTGCCACTTCACCAAGCGGTTCGACCTCCCAGCAGGCTGCTGCGACGTCGACGACAACGTCGCCGCGATCACCGTCCAACTCGACAAGGGCATGCTCTACATCCAGGTGCCGCGCCGGCAGAGCGCCGCTTGGCGGGGCACCGAGCAGCAGCCGGCGGAGGCGGAGGTGTACGAGGACGCGCTGCGAGGAGAGTCGGACGAGACCAGCGACGACGGCCACGGCCACGGCGGCGGCTGGAACATCGGCCGCGTGGCGGCGGCGCGGCGAGACGGCGAGCATCTTCACCCGCTCCGGCTGCTCGCCAGGGGCGTCAGCAGGCACCGGCAGGTGGTTCTGAACGTCGTGCTCGCCGTCGTCGTCCTCTGGCTCGTCGTGTTCGCCAAGAACGACTAAGGCGAGGCGCGAGCGTACGCCTGCGCGCGCACGGATCAAGAAATTTCTTCCTCTGTTTCTGTATAGTGACAACTTGTGGAAGGAAAAATACACGTCCGGGCGAATAAGCAGGGCAAAGATACTCCATAAGGATGTAGTACATACATGGCCTTAAGCCTCTCTAATGTCATTACAGTACATTGCAGTCCAACGACGTGTTCGCTGGTTGATTTCTGAGCTGATTTGGGCTAGCTGATGCTGGTTTATTGGCCCCGTTCGGCTTACCTTAAAACTGGCTTACTCGGCTTCTTTTTTTAGCCGGAAAAGTGTTTTTCTCTCGCAACAATTCAGCAGGAACAGTGTTTTTCAGTTAGTTTCAGCCAAGTTTTAGCAAGCTAAACGGGGCTAATTATGAGAGAAAAACACTGTTGACTGGTTGAATAAGCCTGGTTAAAACCAATAAACGAACATGGTGAAAGATCACTAAAAGATGGCACACATTCAATTCAGAATGTTGGTTGCCGTGTCACGGAAGGAATACCACCCAAACATCGAAAAGCCTACCTGGTCCCACCTTATTGTATTTATTCCTTCTTTTATATGATCTATAAAAGCAAATTCCATGCTGACTCCACATATTACGTCATATCTAACGGCCAAATAAAGAGGTTTAAATCACTTAAAAAAGTTTATGCAGTTGAAAGGGTCAAAACAAAGATATACGGTGAAGACATTTAAAAAGTTAATGATCCGAAAATCAACTTTTAGAGTTGATGGACCTAACCAAAACCTCCACGTAAGTTAATTAACCTTTGGTGCACTTAACTCTTTATAAATTATAAATTTATATCAACTTTATCTTGTGCTAAGTTAAACTTAAACATACTACACCTAGGAGTATTTATGATTTAAATTTAAATGTGTGCGCATGACTTGTGTCATTTTTCATTCCTTTATATGATGACATGGTGCTATGTTTTTACCATGAATTATTGATTATCGACTAATACTAGTACTATTCTAGGTTCTCGTAATACTGACTTTGTATTTGTATTTGTATTTGTTTTTCAGCGATATCGTTTCCGATTTTGTTTCCATGAAAATTATGAAAGACAGAATGGCAATGCTCCTTAAAGGGCGTCCGTTCGGACAGACTCCGCCCGTGTCGCCCGCTCGCTCTGCACGCTGTGTGCCCCCGCTGCGGGACGGACCCTGCCCTCACTCGCTCTGTGCGCTGCACGCCCCTACTCGCAGGACGGACCCCATCCTCACCCGCGCACGCCCCTGCTGCGCGTCGCGTACCCGCACCATGTGCCTCTGCTCGGACTCGTGCCTCCCGTTGCGGCCACACTCCATCCACCTGTTAAGGTCCATGCCGCCGATAGGCTCCACACCAGCGACCTCCGTGCCACTCCGTGTCATCGAGTTCCGCATTGGCGAGTCTCCATTTTCGTCCAAGCAACAAGTAGATGTTGCGCTCGAAAGCTCATGTTGCAAGCCTATGTTTTATAGGTATGTTATAATTGTTTAATATGAATGTTGCAAAAGTAGATCAGGATGTTGCATATGTTACAATTGTTGTACACGTATGTTGCAAGCTTCTGTTTTTAATGTTTTATCTGTTATTTCAGACGTATGTTGCAAGTGTATTTATTGGATGTTGCATGTGTTTCACACATATGTTGCAACTGTTTTATCTAGATGTTGCTTATGTTTTGCAATGGTTTTCAGGTGTTTTTGCAAGTGTTTCAGATGTATGTTTAAAGTGTTTGATCTGTCTTCAAACGTATGTTGCAAGTGTTGCATCTGGATGTTTTAAAAGTAGATGAGGTGTTGCATCTCTCTCCTCGCATTGGTGTGTCCTCCTCATCTTTCTGCTGCCTTGCATCCTTATCAGAATGTGAAAGGGGCACGGCGGGGCCGGGGAGGGGGGGAGGACGTGAGCACGTGCTCTTCCCTTATGTTACGGGCATATGAATAGGCTTCCCGTTGGTCTTCAATGGGTGAGTAGGTGTACCGCTTATGTTGCCAGCCTAGCCCATGTATGGAGTCACGGTTGGTTGGTGGGACCTACGTACGCGCGGCTGGGCCGAACGACCGGACGCTAGTGGTTTTTTCGATATTTCTGACCGTTTTGGTTCTGCTGCAAGCAAATGATGTGCAGCATGTTCGTTTGGTTGTGGCTTGTCGTAAACGATCATAAATTTCCAGTCGGAACAGTATTTTTCTCTCACACAAACCAGCCAGTAGTACTTCTTCACGAACCAGCAACGAAACGAACCAGCCAACCAAACAGGCTGGTGGAGGGCCCAGACAGGAGATCCGTGCACAAGCTTCTACTCCTACAAATTAACTGAACAACATACTAAGTTTGTACACACTACACAGTTGCGTTACGTACACGAAGTCACGTCTCCGGTCCCACCTAGACTGAAACCGTCACGCCCCCCGCCGTGAGTGAGGAAACCCAACCGGGTCGGGCCGTCGAGGACTCGGGACCGATCAGAACGCGCTCCAACCACGCCGCAGCGAGTAAAAAAAACCAGGGCCGCCCATAAACCCGCGGGGGTCTCGTGTGCCATTAAAAAAAGATCGTAATATTCTGTGTATCTTTGGAAAAGTTCAGCGGTCTTCAGCGTCACTGCTCCAACTTTTTGTGTCATCTATGCCACTGCCGTCAGTTTGGGCTCTAACGTCGTCAAACTGCACACGAGAAAAGTCGAAAATACCCTTAAGTCTAAATATGTCATTAATTTTTTTAGCATCTTAACGACTTCAAATGAAAAAACTCAAAACTAGAAAGTTGTAGATCTTGTCGAGATCTATAATTTTCATATAAAAATTATCTTCATTTAATTCCGTAGAAAAAATATGATTTGATATGATTAATATATTTTAGAAAAATTATATCTTTTTTTTGTGGAATTAAATTAAGATAATTTTTTATATAAAAATTATAGATCTCGACGAGATTTACAACTTTCTAGTTTTGAGTTTTTTCATTTGAAGTCGTTAAGATGCTCAAAAAAATTAATGACATATTTAGACTTAAAGGTATTTTTGACTTTTCACATCTACATTTTGACAGTGTTAGAACTCAAACTGATGGTAGTGGTATGGAGGAAAAAAAAAGTTAAAATAGTAACGCTAAAGACCGCTCCAGGACCCAGGGCATTACGATTTTTTTTTTTTACGGAACACAACGAATTTCCACTAAACCCGCTCGGCCCCGTTCTTCTTCCTCCCACGGGTTCGCCGTGAAACCCCAATTGGCCAATTCCCCAAATCCATGGCTCCCCCGGCCACCGACGCGGCGACGACGAAGCAGGAGCAGCAGCACGCGGCGGGAGGGGAAGGCGTCGAGGTCAGCGGCGACAACCTACGGCTGGTGGCGGAGTGCGGCTGTCGCGCTCCGCGGCGCGGATGTCGACGACGCTCCTCGACATGAATGAGGCCGGCTGCGCGGAGGGCGGCATCCCCATCAAGGGCGCCGACGCCGGCACCCTCCGCCTGGTGGCGGCCTACTGCGAGAAGCACGCGCCGCACTACGACCCCGTGGCCTCCGCGGCGAGGCTCCGCGACCCGTTCCCGCTCTTCCCCATCGACTTCACGCCGGCCACGTACGCCGTCAAGCCCGTCACCCAGCTCGACCCCGACCCGCACGGCCTCGAGGCCTGGGACCGCAAGTTCATCAGCGACCTCCCCGACAACTCCGCCCTCTTCAACCTCATCATCGTAAGTAACCCACCGCACCGATCGATGCTTTTCTTTCCTGTTTCATTCGTCAGAGCGAAGCGTTCGTTGATCAAACTTCGGAGTGGTACTGTGTGGTTGGATGAAACGAAATTGATATATGTGCCTTGATTGAGTTTGTCTGAATTTGAGCAACCACGCCTGTACAATCTGTGATGATGACTTGTGTGGTTCTGCGCTGCAGGTTGCCAACTTAATGGCCATCGAGGAGCTGGTCGACCTGGGCTGCACGGCCGTAGCGGACAAGATGAGGGGCAAGACGCCTGACGAGATCCGCGTTGCCTTGGACATCGAGAACGACTACACGCCATAGCAGGAGGCCGAGGTCAGGAGGGAGAACGCCTGGGCATTCGAGGATTGAACCGCGCCTCCTCCTTGCTTACATTGCATTCGTTCGTCCTGCTGCGGTTCTGGGTGGTTACCCGAAGAAATAGGCACATTCAGTTTGATGTCAAGTAGGCAGATCATAGATAGATCAGTTTGTGGGAAGTCAATGCAAAACAAACTGGGTGGGTTGAGCTTCTAACTCTGAAAGTTTTGGTGTGAATTGTGGATGGATGGATGTCTGTTCAACTGGTTTTCATCAGCGGAAAGTGGTATGCTTCTTGCACACTTTGTTCAGTTTAAGGCATCACTAGTCTCTACTCCTAGCCTAGGAGAACTTATATCATCTTAGTTGCAAAAGAATACGACTACACGCGGGAGCATTTGCAGGGAAAGAACCGCCCAACCCCCCAGCGCAGACGCAGCACCGGCGACTAGGGTCATGTTCGAGGCGGCTCTGGGACCTTCTTGGCTATATCTCGCGAGCTCTGCTCCGGATCTAGTGTTTGTCCCGGTGCTCGCAGCTTGGCCGAGGGAGGGCGCGCGGCGACCCCTCTTCGCCAACGGCGGGGATCGGTGGTCGTCGGGCACGATCCAGACCGTTGGGTCTGATCTAGCTCGGGGACCACCGGATCTTGCGGCCATGGATCGCGAGGACGCCGCCATCGGCTCGGGCGCCGCTTTGTGTTTACGCCACGCGGTCTCTCCGTCTTGGCGACGTGAGTGGCCCACTCATGGCGCGGACGGCCATCGATCGGCGGGCGCATCCCGCCCGCCAGCTGACACGCCCAATTCCACGCTCGGCCGGCTCCACCTCTGCCCGTTTATATACCACAATGCCTCGACCGGCGCTGCCCCCCGACCCCACGCCTGTTCGGTCTGCGTCTGCGTGGCCTCGACCCCGAGGAGGGCTTCGGTGCAGTCCACAGCCGTCGCGGACGGGGCTCTCGTGGTGCGCGGATGCATCTTCTAGTGGCGGATGGCCGAATTCGGGACTCCTGGGACCGGATCTGCCGTGCGCCCCTCCTCGGCGGCGGCTGGCGGCGTGGGCTGCTAGGGGTGAAAACCCCGTCAGGCTTCTTGCCTTGGGCTGACGACGGTGGCGCACCAGCGTCATCACCTTCTTGGAGGCGTCATCAAATGCTCAATTTGTAGTTTGGGGTTGATGGGGCATGTTTGGGGACGAAAGTCTCTCGTGGGTGCTCCTCCCAACGAAGTAGGCGTCCGCGGATGTCATCAGCTTCTTGAAGGCTTCGTTGATGCACTCCGCTTCATCCCATCACGCCGTCCTTCCGTCAGGGCCGCTCCTCGCTTTTGCTGTGCCTACCTGTGCTTCAGCTTCCGCCTCGTTTTGGTTTGTCCACCTCGGGTGTTGGTGTCGCCACAATCGCCTTCTTCTTCGCAGCGGCTACCTGGTCGCTGGCGGATGCGACTACCTGGTCGCTGGCGGATACGTCGTCTTCTTCGCAGCGACTACCTGGTTGCTGGCGGACTTTGTCGCCTTCTTCGCAGTGACCACTTGGTCATTTGCGGATGGATGCTGAGCTCTCCGCAGCGGCTACCTGGTCGCATGCGGATGGATGCTGGGCTTTCTACCGGTGGGTGCTTTGCCACCACGGCCTTACCCACCCTCTGTTGGCTACCATTGCGCGGATGTATTTTTTTTTGGCAGGCATAGTTGGTTGGAGTTTTGAGGTGGATTCCCCTCCCCTCCCCCTCGTGTATTCTTGCTGTTCGTTTATGTCTTTGGGATTTCGCCGGTAATCCTAGAATTACTTGTGAGTCCTTTATATCAGTGTTCTGGCCTTTCTTTTGGCCTTTCCTCTTAATGAAAAACGGGTAAAAGACCCGATCGAGGAAAAACAATCTTGCTCAATTATTAAACTTGTCGGTTGTTTAGCATGCTGGCTCGCCCTTGCATTTGCCTGCCCCTGCCTCTATGTGGGCAATTGTGAAAACGGTTGTGACTGGGGGTTAGTTGTTTGATGCAACATCTTTGTCTTACTTGTTTTGTTCCGCAGTCTAATTTTCAAATTTTATACTTGGTGTCAACCGTTGGGGCGTAACCCTCTTAGCGACGCGCCATATCGAAACTTGGGTATGGTGTTAAATAGGCAAGGGCCGGGTCGGCACCCCCTTGGTGACGCGCCGTGTCGCGATCTGGACATGGTGTCAAGTGAGCAAGGATCGGGTCATCGCTTTCTTAGTGGCGCGCTACATCGGTGCCCGGGTGTAGTGAAAAATGAGCAAGTGTCTTCACATCTGAGTCGACGGGTGCGAAGGGTTAGGAAGCTAGTCGAACCAATTAGGATCTGTTTAGGTAGTTAGAATGTATGGTCGCTTACATGTAAGTTAAGAGAATTAGTTGATACCGCGACTAGGAGGCGTGTAAATATATTATGCGTTCAAGAGACTAAGGTCCTGTTCGCTTCTCTTATAATCCGTCTTTTTCAGCTTGTTTTTTCAGTAGAAACAGTGTTTTTCTCTCACAACAAAATTAGCCGGAACAGTGTTTTGGCTTGTTTTTTCAGCGAAGCGAACGGGGCCTAAATGGAAGGGTCAGAAGGCGAAGGAGGTGGACAATACAGGTTTCAAGCTTTGGTACACAGGAACAGTCGCAAATAGAAATGTAGTAGGAGTTTTGATTGATAAGAGCTTCAAGAATGGTTTAGTGGGAGTGAGAAGGCAAGGAGATAGGATTATCTTAGTCAAGCTTGTCGTTGGTGATATGGTCTTGAACGTAATTAGTGCGTATGCCCCCCAAGTAGGCCTCGACGAGAATGCTAAGAGACAGTTCTGAGAAGACTTAGATGGCCTGATTAGAGCTATACCTAGTAGTGAGAAGCTTTTTATAGGAGGGGATCTTAATGGGCATGTATGTACTACAAGCGCAGGTTTCGAGACAGTTCAAAGAGGTTTTGGGTATGGTAGTATGAATCAGGAGGGGGGAGAAGTTCTGGACTTCGCGGTAGCTTTTAACCTAATGATAGCCAACACTTTCTTTAAAAAGAGAGAATCTCATCTAGTGACTTTCAGTAGCGGACAACACTCTAGCCAGATTGACTTTGTCCTCGTAAGAAGAAAGGACAAACGAGCATGCTTGGGTTGCAAGGTGATACCAGGGGAGTGTGTTGTTTCTTGGCATAATCTTTTGGTGGCAGACTTTCGTTTTCAGGTGTGTACCCATAGGGATAAACAAGCTAAGATTGAAAGAACAAAGTTGTGGAAACTGAAAGGGGCGGCGTCAGAGGTATTCAGGGAAAGGGTTATCAAAGAGGGCTCTTGAAAGAAAGAAGAGGACATAAACAACATGTGGGAGAAGATGGCAACCAACATTCGGAAGGTGGCCTTAGAAGTGTGTGGAGTAACCAAAGGAAGTGGAGGTGAGGCTAAAGATACTTGGTGGTGGAACGAGGAAGTTCAAAGAGCTATTAAGGAGAAGAAAGAATGTTATAGACGCTTGTACCATGACAGGAGCGTGGACAACATAGAGAAGTACAAGATGGCAAAGAAGACTGCAAAGCGAGCTGTAAGTGTGGCAAATGGTAGAGCGTACGAGGATCTTTACCAATATTTGAGTACGAAGGAAGGAGAGAAGGACATTTATAGGATGGCTAGGGTTCGCGAGAGAAAGACAAGGGACTTCAACCAAGTTAAGTGCATTAAGGATGAAAGGGAGCATCTCTTGGTGAAGGAGGATGAGATCCGACATCGATGGCAAGAGTATTTTGACAAATTGTTCAATTGTGAGAATACGGAGACAACCTTTTCAGTTGGATGACTCTTTTGATGACACCAATAGGCGCTTTGTGTGGAGAATCCAAGAATCTGAGGTCAGAGAGGTGTTAAAAAGGATGAAAGGAGGTAAGGCGATGGGACCGGATGGTATCCCAATCGAGGTGTGGAGATGTCTCGGGGACATAGCTATAGTATGGCTAACCAATCTGTTCAACCATATTTTTCGATCGAATAAGATACCCGACGAGTGGAGGAGAAGTATATTGGTATTGATCTACAAGAATAAATGGGATATTCAAAGTTGTACTAATTACCGGGGAATTAAGTTGATGAGCCATACTATGAAGCTATGGGAGAGAGTTATCGTGCATCGCTTGAGAGCAATAACATGGGTCTCTATGAACCAATTTGGTTTCATGCCCAGAAGGTCAACCATGAAAGTCATTTTCTTAATAAGACAAGTTATGGAGCGGTATAGGGAGAAGAAGAAGGACATACACATGGTTTTTATTGACTTAGAGATGGCTTATGATAAAATACCAATGAATATTATGTGGTGGGCTTTGGACAAACATAAAGTCCCAACGAAATACGTCGAGCTCATTAAGGACATGTACAATAATGTTGTGACTAGTGTTCGGACAAGTGATGGAGACACGGATGACTTCCCGATTAGGATAGGGCTACATCAAGGGTCAGCTTTGAGCCCTTATCTGTTTACCTTAGTGATGGATGAGGTCATAAGGGACGTACAAGGGGACATCTCTGGGTGTATGCTTTTCGCGGACGATGTAGTGCTAGTTGATAAAAGCCGGACATGAGTGAATCAGAAACTGAAGTTATGGCCGGAGACTTTGGAGTCCAAATATTCTAGACTTAGTAGAACTAAAACTAAGTATATGAGATATGACTTCGGCACTACTACTCGAAAGGAGGAAGATATTAGTTTGGAAGGTCAAGTAGTGCCTAGGAAGGATACCTTTCGATATTTAGGATCAATGCTATAGAGAGACGGGGATATTGATGAAGATGTTAGTCATAGAATCAAAGCAGGGTGGATGAAGTGGCGCTAAGCATCTGGTGTCCTATGTGACAAAAGGGTACCACAAAAGCTAAAAGGCAAGTTTTATAGGACGACGATTAGACATGCTATGTTATATGGTGCAGAATGTTGGCCTACGAAAAGACGACATGTTCGACAGATAAGTGTCGCGGAAATGCGTATGTTGCGTTGGATTTGCGGTCATACAAGAAGGGATCGAGTTCGGAACAATGATATACGTGATAGATTTGGGATAGCACCAATTGAAGAAAAGATTGTCCAACACCGGTTGAGATGGTTTGGATATGTCCAACGGAGACTTCCAGAGGCACCGGTGCGTAATGGAATACTAAGACCGGATAGTAACGTAAAAAGAGACAGAGGAAGACTGAAATTGACTTGGGTAGAGGCAATAAAATGAGACTTGAAAGGATGAAATATACCAAAAGACTTAGCCTTAGATAAGAGTGCTTGGAAAACAGCTATTTTCGTGCATGAATTTTGATTGCTTCGGCTAGGTTTTAACTCTAGACTACTCCAACTTATTTGGGACTTAAAGGCTTTGTTGTTGTTGTATACTTGGTGTCATGGTGTGTGCTGTGTGGGTGGGGCGCTTTGTTGGGCATTACAAAATTAGTTAAAGCTGTAAAAATATTATGAAAAAATTATGATCCTTTTGCCCTGTAGAACAAGTATCATAATCCTTGGACAGAAAATCACACAAACAATGCTGTTGTGGGGGTGTCAAAGTAGACTCCAAGGATGTCAGTCAAAATGGTTATTAGCTGCAACAATGTCACAGCGGTTAACAGGTGACCAAACAAGACGAAGTAGAAGATAGCTCTGACAACTCGAAACCACAATGCTCTAAGGATGAAATCACATGGCCCACGACGAGCGCAGAAACAGCGCTGGCGTCATCTTACCCTCCATTTTGGCATACACAAGTCCTGGTTGCAGCCTCGCGCCCTTACCAACGTTGAAGTTGAGGAATCCTTCCAGTACTAGGCGCTGCAGCTGATTCCTCCTCTTCTCTTCAGCCGTGCCGCCGCTCACCTTCACGCCCCACCCGAGTTCATTATCTGGGATGTCGGACAAGGTAAAGCCCCAGCGCACTGGTCCATGGTTGGACCTCTCCATCTGAAACCACCCCTCTGTCCTGAGAGTTTCATAAAGCTCGCAGTCCACCATCAGCGCCATCGACTGCGGTAGCTGCACAGAGGGAGAGGCACCGTGCACTGCCACTACGGTGTGTGAAGTGGCACTGACATCAGTCTGATTGTTGAACTTCACACTCAATTCTGTATGTTCTGCACAGCTTACGGTGGGGTTTTCTGGTTTTAGGCTGCCTAGTGGAATAGCAAGGATTCCGAGATTGTTGAACCGGGGCGACAATGAGTGGACCTGCCAAATTCCCGACAAACTGAGCTTGACATCATTGGTTGGTTTGCAGGACACTTGCCCGAATGTTGTCATGCGGTTAGTTCCTCCGCCCCCACTGTCTAGTCCTCCTGAACCGAAGATTAGCTCAGCAAAGGAGGCGGTGAATTTGGACCCTTCGATTCTCAAACCAGCACCGCAGTTGTGATGGTCGAAAAATGAAGGTGGACCGTCGAAAGAGGCTTGAATCCGTAGATTCTGACAACAATTTTCACGATTTCATCAGTCGAGTTACTGCATGGTTCAGTTTTGTCCAAGGAAAGCAACAGCTGTGCCAATGCTTGCAGCAGAAGGGACACATACCTGAATCATGCTTGAACTATGCAAGAAGTTGTTGCACCGGGCTCCAAACGGGACTAAGGTCATCGACAGCCATTTGTTGATCCGAGCACTGTACTGCAGCCTAGTCAGCTCTACAGGTCTCCCCAAATGGCCACCTGCTCCAAGCTGAGTTGAGAGCTCTGCAGCAATTGTGTCTTTGCCCCTGGTCTTTGACTCAAAAACGAACCTTGAACTGAGGCCCGTTCTTCTCCCCACCTTGTCAAGGGTTGCTTTTGCTTGTTCGAATTCAGTACGGTCGACAAGAAACAGTGCCCCAACCGCATCAAGTGCTATTTTCACCTGGATAGGGAGATCTAGGAACTCAAACCCTTTGCCAGTTTTATACAACGAAAGGATGTGTTCGATCTGATCATGTTTCTCCTTGAATTTCATGACATCGGAAAATGTTTCTCTTTGTATGCGCTTCATGATATCACCCTGCGGTAAAAAAAATAGCAATGAGCCACTTCTGAAGTAAGAACATATATCAAGGAGGAAAGAATGCCCACTTGGACTAACTAATGATGTTTGATTGTTTGTTAAGTGCAAATTATGTAAGAAGCAATTACTTATGCATGTTTCCAATTCACTCAACAGATGCACTGCAATCGTTGGTATATTGTTCATCTGACCTACAGTAACGTCAGAGATACATGCAGCTTGCAGTCCATGGTTCGAACAAACCAATGTGCAAAGCCATGATAACTCTGTAGAGCAAACATGCAGCTTGCAGTTTATCAGTTATAACATCTGAAGTAATAGCATAGTAAAATCCATTTAAAAATTTGCCTACTTCTATGGGAATTGCATAACACAAACTGTTCTGGATTTACAGAAACTGCTATTTAAATGTGCACAAACCACATGAAAACAACAACCATGGAAAAGGTGGAGCATGACATACGAGTATATGACTCATGTCAAGTTCAGATCCTGATCAACAAATCCTGTGGCGCGGTGCAAACCATGGATGTGAAAATGACAGACAATTTGAAGCAGTTAGGTGGGGTGGCATGGATATCAGATGGCCAATGCTAGTCACTAATCACTAGAAGGACTCAATTTCACAGGTCATGAATGGATTCCTAAGAAGGGGAGGTGGATAGCATACAGGGCGGTTATGCGGGTGCTGCTGCTGCTGGTGGTGAAGGTGAAGGTGATGCTGCTGATGCTTCACGGGAAGTCGCGGCTGGCCGGAGTTACCCCCGAAGAAGACGGCGCGGATGAGCGCCTTGCCGGACCTGAGCAGGCCGCGGACGCCATCGGCGACGGTGGGGCTCGGCCTGGGCCTGGGCCTGGGCCTGGCATCCGGCAGCGGCGGTGGAGGCGCGGGCGCAGATGCAGGCTCCGGCGGGGGCAGCAGCAGAGGCGGCGGCTGTGGCGACGCGGGGTTGGAGGGTGAGGACGAAGAGGCCATGGAGCAGCCGGCGGCCGCTGCAATTGCCGCCGCGAGGCCTCGGTGACAAGTGGAAGAGAAGAATACGAGCTCTTGCTAATTGTGGGAAGGAATCGAAGGCGAGAAGGTTGAGTATGTAAGCTGGTCGGCGCAGGCAGCTGCTTCAAATTCAATTCCCCGCCTTTATTCTCGCCTGCATCTGCCTTTCCCTTTCGGTGTCTTTTTGCTTTCGCTTTCGCTTTGGATTTTGGTTTCTTCCTGGTTATGCCGTGTCGGCATTTTGGCTTGATGTAGACGAAGGTGGCCATGGCATGGAGAAAATCCCAACTTCTTTTCTTCAGGGGCTGTCTGTGGAACTCGCATGCAATGCAAGGCTTGTGTCCGATGCCATGCTTTTGATAATGATTTGTGCCTGCCTGCTAACTCCGCCCGCTGATATTAAAGCCGGCTGATAAGTCGACCTTGGCTGATTTGTTGTGAGAGAAAAAAAAATACTATAGATTCTTGTTGATAAGTCGGCTGATAAGTTCAAGCGAACAGGCCCTCCATAATTCTTTCACTCATTTGTATTTCTAACGAGTAATAATTATTTCTTTTTATCTAAACCACCGTAGATAATAGACTAACTAATTGGCCCCGTTCGCTTGGAGAAATTTAGAGAAATCTGGAGGAATCTGGATGAATCTAGAGGAGTTTGTGAGAGGAAAACACTGTTCCAGATAAAAAAAGAAGCGGATCAAGCCAGGTTTAAGGGCACGCGAAACGGCGCCATTGTTAGCTAGACTTTTAGCTAATAATAACTACCCAACTAGCTAGGCAAAATCAGATAATGAAATGTGGCCCTATTCGCTTGAACTTATCAATCGGCTTATCAGCTAGAATCTACAGTATTTTTCCCTAACAACAAAACAGTTTGAGCCGACTTATGTATCAGCCGAACAGAGCCATTAGCTAGCTAACTATTATCATATAGTAAATCCAAACGGGACCTAAACGAATGAATCAGTTCTCCGTAGAGCATATCACGCTTCGTGGCGTCTTGTTCGTTTTCCGACAAAGGAATGCGCGATGTTTCACGTGAAGGGCAAAGAGAGGATGCAACCGTTAGAGCCCCACCCGTTCCCTTCAGGCGCTCGCCCACCCCCTCCACGAAATCAACCAAATCCACCAAAATCTCCCCTTAATCCCACCAAAATCCATCTTCCAACTACGGATCCGCACCCACCTCTTCCTGATCTACCATCTGGTGGGTCTTTTTGCTCCGGTCATGGCTGCAGTTGGGGTGGCGCATCCTCTTCGGCGTGCAGCTAGCGGCCGCCTCCGGCCGAGCCGCCTTCGCCGGGTGCGGATGGTGTCGCGGCTGCCGAAGCTGCGGGTGTGGACGCTGGCACGTCCGCCCAGTCGCCCGGGATGGTGGAGCTCGGATCCCGTATGGGAGAACCCAGCGACGGTGGATCTGCGCCAACCATCGACGCAGTGTTCATCCCCGAGCTGGCGTCGCCTGCTCGCTCGAAGGGTCGCTCCAACTGCCGATGACGCTCGAAGGGTCGCCCCACTCTCTCCCCCAATGCTGCCTCGTTCTTCCCCGGCCACCTCTCCGCCGGTAGGTCCAAGCGCTTGCGTTGTGAGGATAGCTCTCTCTCCGACAATTCCGACCTCGAGCGCTCTCCTTCCCCGTTGCTACAGGCCGCGCGTTTGACTCGCTCGGGCGCTGCTCCCTCCTCGGTGAGCCACCCACTGATGGCAGCTGCGGCTATGGCTGCCATCTCGGTGCCGCGGCGCCGCAGGCGGCGTCGACGCCGTCACCGACGCCGCGGGCGGAGGGCTACCACGGCCGCAACGGGTGACTGCGATGCACCACGCAGGGCCGGTGCGACCCCACCCTCTGAGGCTCCGCGGATCCTAGTTCAATTGCGGCTTGGCCCGCAGAGCAGGGTATCCGCCCTTGATGCTGATGGGTGGCGGTGCATCCTGCCTCATTCTCCAAATCACCTCGTGGGCAACCAGTAGCTGTGCCGGGGAGGCGGTGAGGCCAGGCTTCAGCAAGGCGCCCGCCCTGGGGGTCAGACCCTGGATCTTCACCACCGATTTTCGGGGCAGGTGCTTCAATTGTCTATCCTGGACTCATCGGGTGGCCACCTGCCGGCTCCACCGCCGCTACCTGCGCTGCCACGGGTTTGGGCACATAGCGCATGACTGCAAGCGGCCAAGGTCCAACGTTGTCGCTACCGCCTCCACATGCCAATCCTCGACGTTGATGGGTGTATGTTCGCTGGGTGGCAGAGCATGGTCATGGACTGGCTCGCTTCGCTTCGACAGCGTTACCATCATGGCCACCTCTGGGTTGCCCGCTGACTCGTCGACGCCCCACGCCCCATCCACGATTCCTGCTGCAGGCGAGGTTGCCGTGCACTCCTCCCTGCCTCAGGTCTCCTTCGACGACTTCTTCGACCCCATTGCTTCCGAGATGCAGGCCGTGCTGGCCCATGAGCGATGAGATCCCATGCGCTCCGAGGGGTTGGTCGACATGGAGAAGCCTTCGGGTGTGGGGGTCCCAGCAGGAGGGTCACCCCTTCTGGCGTAGCTTTCTGGATCGCCTGACTTGGCCGCGTGTTGCTCCCCCCCTGGGTAGGAGGCGGCCACGGACGCTTGTGCCGGATTCGGAAGCTGTGGAGCTTGAGCTGTTGAGGCCTAGCCGTGGGTCTTCGACTGACGACGAAGGCCATAACGCTCAACCTCCATCGGCTGATGTGTCCCTATTGACACAATTGGAGGCGCGGGTATGCATCCCGCTCGAGACCCCTTTGATCAGCAAGCTAAGGCTGAGGAGGTCCAGGACACCTTCAACGGTGTTGTCGGTGCGTCGGAGTGGGAGGCTTGCTGCTAAGGCCAAGGCCTCCAACCCGACTGTCCAGGCACAAAATGTGCTGAAGCAAAAGCTAGGGATCGCAAACATGGCGCAGGGTCCGGAGCCTGCGGCCTTGGACAGTATCAAGGCCTTCTTGGCTGAGCCGTTGTCGCCCTCCAAGATGGCGACCCTTCAGGCGCTCTTCGCTTCAGATTTCGATCCGGTGGCCATCGAGCTCAACCTCACTGGCTTCGAGCAGGACGCTTTTTAGCCGCTGGGTTTAGGGCCCGCTGTGTTTGTTTGTCCCTTTGCTTGGTCCTCTGCGCGGCCGCTACGTAGTTTCTTTTGTAGTTACAACTGTGTGAGCTCTGTGGGTGTTTGGTTCGGTAACCACAAATTACCGTCCCAGTTTTAATAATTTGTAAAACTCTTCTTCTGCTTAATGAATATCGTGCCAATGGCACGTTCGTAAAGATGGCAATGGGGACCCACGACCCGATACCCGACAGGTATTTACTCCATTAGGGTCTAAATATGGACTAAACACACTACCCACGGGTACGTAAATGGACCAAACCCTTCACCCATTGGGTACGCGGGTATGGGTATGTTCCAGCAGTCCTCGTACCCGTTTACCCATGGGTGAAAAATACCCGACCCAAAAGTGAAGAAGCCCACCAGCCCATGTAAAACCCTAGGTTTGCCAACCCTATCCCAATTGCCATTTTCCCACGGTCCCACCTGCGTGACCCGCCTGGTCGCCTGGATTCTGGAGCCGTCGACGCCTGGCCTCCCGCCGCCAAAAAAATAGCGCCGCGTTTACTCTGCGCTCGCATCGCAAGTCTCGCTCCTCACCAAAAAAACGCCGCCGCCGAAAAAACAACGCCGCCCGCCCGCCCGCCCCTCGTGACCTCGTCTCGGCATTTATCGTATTCGCATCGCAGATTCGCATCCTAGCGTCAGGAACTCGCCACGCCATGCCGACGACGGAGCAAGAGCGGTGATTCCCCTTCCCCTAATCCCCTTCATATTATATGTTATTATTTGTGTAATTTTATGTGCTCTGGTTAGTGGTGGTTGCTGTTGAATTGTTGATTTTCATGTGCGTGAATAAATTATTGGCGGGTACGGGTGACCCGACGGGTATGATTTACCCGGCCAGGTATGGGTCTGGGGAAAATTCCCCATCCATGACGGATATGGGTATTCTGGCGGTACCAAATTTTTATGGCGGGGATGGGTCTGAGGTGGCCATACCCGATGGGGATTTACCCATTGCCATCCTTACACGTTCGAGGGACAAAGGAATGCATTTATCATGGTTTGCACCTTCATACATTGTGCCACAGCACGAACGACAAACGATGGATTGCAGACTCCTAGCTAGTGCCAAGGTGGTTCCTGTTCTAGGTTTAATCGGGCACTTCAGAACAACAACGCCCGTACGTGGTGTGTGCCATCAGGTGACGAAAAGTGCTTATGGGCCAAATTCCAGTGTCCAGACCACAGCCACACGCCCACACCAAACGGCGGTGGGCACTGTCTTCCAGGCCGATTTAGACTCTACAGTATTACAGTACGTATGATCCAGCCAACCTACAGGCTGCAGGTTGTTTGACTGTGTAATACGGAGTAATTATTACTAACACCTACAGATTAATCATGTGTACTCGTTGCATGCACCATTGTTGTTCAATACTCCATCCGATCTATTTTATCTGGCATAAGTTAGGATAACACGGTCTTCTAAATTACACTTTGATCATTCATTTGCTTTATATTATATTATTTATGCTTATAAGCTTATAATCATTAGATAGTATAATTCCTTACAAATCTAATCATATAAAGCTTGTATTATAATATAGTTAAAAACTATTAGCCTAATTATTGATCAAAGTTTTTAAAGTTTGAATTTTGATATACGTGTGCGTCAGATAAAATGGACCAGAGGTAGTATCTTTCAAACTACAGGTAGGCCACTAGTAGTAATTTGCAATGTCATGAAGCTAATTGGAGCATCAACACACTCTGCTAGTCAACATATAATAGCTAGTATTAATTGGTTTTACTTGGCATCATACAGTACTCGCCTACTTGGAGAGAGTAAGTACCAGCGTAAAAGTGAGATAAACTTTGTACCTACTAGTCCTATTGGGGTTCAAGATCATTT